TGGCAAATCAAATAAATAAATAAATAAAATATATCGCTACAGAACACTTTTGTGGAACACGCCCCCTCTCTAGCCCCGCCCCGCCCCGGGCTCCTCCCCTTTCCACCGGCGGCTCCATCCTTCCTTGGCTTGGCCCCGCCCCTCACCGCCTCCTCCGGCCCTTGCTGCTTCGACCTTCGCCTCAGGCTGAGGAGAGGCGGCGACTCGAGGCTCGGATTCGTCGTTCGCGGGTAGAAGCAGCCGCCTCCTGCTCCTCCTCCGCCGCCGCCGGCCATCTTCCCTACCGAGCCGGATTGCTTGCCAACCGGCGGGTCTCTCCCCCCTCAGCCTCCGCCGTTCAGCGCCCCGTAACCGTCCCAAACAGCGCGCGGAAACGGTGCCGCGCCGCCGTTGGCCAGCGCCGCGTCAATCACGGCCGGAAGCGGCCAATGGGAGGCAGGCTTGGCGACCAACGGCCTTCCTCCAAAGTTTGGAAGCCTTCCGCGCCGGGGCGCGCGCCGTCGCTTTACTTTGGACCAATCAGGCGGCGCCGTCCCAGCCGCCGCCCTTTTACGCAGCTCCAAGGGTTCGAATCTGGCCGGACTCGCCGAAATCTCGAATATTTCCTTTCCTTTTTTTTTTGTCTTTCTTCAAGTTTTCCACTTGCCGGCCAACTCCATTACATCCCAGTTGATCCATTAAAATGAGCAACGGGATGCATTTAATACAGTGTTTTTTGAACTGGGCCACTTTAAGATGCTGGCTGGGGAATTCTGGGAGTTTAAAAGCTGCTGTCATCTGCAAGTTTGCGCATAATATATCTATATATCTTTTATCTGTCTATATCGGAGGTCTCCAAACTAGGCAACTTTAAGACTTGTGGACTTCAACTCCCAGAATTCTCTGGGCTAGTCTTAAAGTTGACCCTTGATCTATATCTATCTATCCATCGAACTAGAATTAGAATTAGAATAACTTTATTGACATTGTACAAGTACAACGAAACTGTGGATGCACCCCAGCAACTGTTCGCAATACAATAAAATCAAAGCACTTAAAAATGAAGAGAAGAAAAATAGAGTACCCACGTCTCCATATATTAACTATATATTTTGTCTGTATTATCACATTTCTCTCTCTCTCATCTATGTCTGTCTATGTCAATTTATTCTAATCTAATCTAATTAATCTAATCTATACAATATATATAAAAGCGAGTGGAGCTCCTCTTCCCTTTTCCTATCTCTGTGGCCAGCACTGTCGGCCTCCGCCCGGCGGGCCAGGGCGTCACCTGCCCGCTCTGCGCAGGCGCGGAGAGGGGGCGTGGCGGCGCGGGAGGTGTGGCGCGCGTGACGTCATCCGTCAACAAACGAGCTGGAAGCTCTCCGGAGGTGCCGCCGCCGCCGCGATGACCAAGTACTGCCGGGCGCCGCGATGCTCCAACTCGGCCGGGCAGCCGCGGCGGGACCAGCGGCGGCTCAGCTTCTACAAGTCAGCCCCCTTCCGGGAAGGGAGGGAGGGGGGTCTGGGGGGGGTCTGCCTGGGATGCCCCCTCCGGGTCCACCCGCCTCGTACCAGGGGGCGGGGCGGGGGGGGAAGGGGGGGAGGAAGCCCCCCTCCCCACCTTAGCCTGACCCCCCCTTCCTCCCCAGGCGGGATTCCCCGGACTACAACTCCCAGGGAGCGTGGAGGGATGGGCTTTGTAGTCTGGCCCAGCTGGGGAGGGGGGGGCGGCAGGTGGCCCTTCTCGTGTGGTGCTTGTGGGGGGCAGGAAACCCCCTCTAGGAGGGGGGCAAGGGACCTCCTCGGAGGGATAAAGAGACCCTTCCTCCAGTGGGGCAGGAGACCCCTCTGGTTGGCCTTTTGGGGTCCCAGGGCTGCTCTTAATGGGGAAGGGACGAACAGACCTTTGGGAGTCTCTGGCTGTTGCTTCCTATGGGAAAGGGTTATCTAAGGAAGAGCCCCTCCTCATTTTACCCCACCTGGAAGGGGAGAGGGGGTCTCGGGCTGAATGGGGACTTGAATCTGGGGTTCGTGGGCAGCCCCATTAATGGGTGTGGAGTGGTGAAGGTAGCAGCCTAAAAAAAACAGGAGACGGTGAATTCTAGTTCCGCCTTGGGCACAAAAGCAGCTGGGTGGCTTTGGGCTAGCTTGTCCTACCTCGCAGGGTTGTCATAGTGGGGAAGATAGGAGGAGGAGGAGGAGGAGGAGGTCGTGCTCGATACCTTCTCCGTCTTGAGTTATTTGAAAAAAACCCAATAAAGGCAGGATATCAAGAAATCTAGGTTGCCCGGATCCGCATTGGGCTTTTCAGAAATGGGGGAAACACGGAGCAGATTTTCGGAAAGTAACGTTGACTTGTGCTGAGTTGGTGGATGTGTTGTTGTGGACCTCTGGGCAAAAAGGAGAAGCAGTTGGTAGTTGGTTTCTTCCACAAAGCTGTGGTTTTTTTGGTCCGACAAATGCAACAAACTCAACTCTCTGACTTTCGTAACACAAACCCAGAAAACAGACTCCATGTATTATTATTATTATACACAAAAAATGACGGTGTACACAGCAAACGAGATGACTATGCTGGGTTTCGTATTATTATTATTATTTAGAAAACTTATAAAAAGCAAACTGAATGGCGGTAACACCATCAAGGCTATAAATACCTGGGCCATACCCGTCATCAATCCCTGCTGGGATTGTAAACTGGACACAGGCAGAGCTGGACAGCCTAGATAGGAAAACGAGAAAACTGATGACCATACACTGTGCGCTGCACCTGCGTAGTGACATCGACAGGCTATATTTGCCCAGAAAAGCAGGCGGCAGAGGACTTTGGCAAGTGAAGCAGACAGTCGAAGAAGAGAAGCGCGCTCTGGCAGATTATGTGAAAGACAGTGTTGAACCAGCTTTGATGGAGGTCAACAAGAGGAAGCTGCTCAAAGTGCAGCAAACCAAGGATCAATACGGGAAAACAGCAATGCAAACTCGGGCTGACAGCTGGTGTAACAAAGCACTGCCTGGACAGTTCCTTGAAAAGATGCAAGGAAAAGTAGATAAGGAAAAGACCTGGTTATGGCTGACCAACGGAACACAGAAGAAAGAGACAGAAGGCCTGATTCTTGCAGCCCAAGAACAAGCCATCAGAACGAATGCAATCAAAGCCAGAATAGAAAAATCTGCTGATGACCCCAAATGCAGACTCTGCAAAGAAGCGGACGAAACCATTCATCACATATTGAGCTGTTGTAAGACAATCCTCAGACTGACTACAAACAACGTCACAACACAGTCGCTCAGATGGTCCACTGGAACTTGTGTCACAACTACCATCTGCCTGTAGCAAAGAACCGGGATCATAAGCCTGAAAAGGTGGTCGAAAATGAGCATGCGAAACTACTGTGGGACTTCCGAATACAGACTGACAAAGTTTTGGAACACAATACCCCGGATATCACGATTGTGGAAAAGGAAAAAGTGTGGATCGTTGACATTGCCATACCTGGTGACAGCAGAATCGACGAGAAACAACTTGAAAAAGTCACCAGATATCAGGACTTGAGAATCGAACTGCAGAGACTCTGGCATAAACCAGTGCAGGTGGTTCCAGTGGTACTCTGCACACTGGGTGCTGCTGTGACTAAAGACCTAGGCAAGCACTTGAAAACAATCGGCGCTAACAAAATCACCCTTGGTCAGCTGGAGAAGGCCACCTTACTGGGATCTGCTTGCATAATCCGCCGATACATCACGCAGTCCTAAATGCTTGGGAAGGGTTTGACTAGTGATTTGTGATACGAAACCCAGCATAGTTATCTCGTTTGCTGTGTACACTGTTGTTTTTTGTTAATAATAATAATAATAATAATAATAATAGTTTATTGTCATTGTACATATATACACAATATACACATAAGGTTGTGACTTTGGAATTTCTCTGATAACACCAGACTGGCTAGTAGGAACAGGCTTGTCCTTCCAGCAAATTCGATTTTAATAGTGTATTAAAGCAACATCACTCTTGAGACTGAGATGGGCAGCATATACATTTAATAAATAACACTTTTTTCTCTGAAGTAAGCCACAGTGTGTTTTAAGGGGCCAAATTATTTAGCCTTTCAAAACAGGCAGAGCTTTAACTGCGTATCTTAGCTGCCATCTTGACTTCTTTGACCCCTCTTGTACCTGAAGCTTTACAAAGAACTAGCAGGATACCTGTGCTTCACTACGAATCTGTGGGGTTGGGCTTAGTTTTTGGGGAGGAAAATAAGGGTGGGGGGGAATCTTGCCAATGTCTTCCACCATCCGTCGGTATTCATCTGGTTAGCATCCTGTCAGCGTGTGTGAGAGTTGAGGGCTGTTTGGAAACTGAAGCAGTATTTGCTGTGTGAGCAAGGAGGAGACAGCAAGGAGCCTGGTCGTGGCTTAGCTCAACTGTTCTGAACTAAAGCTGGTTGCTGCTGTGAAACTGAAACTCCTCTGCTTGTGTTTTGCCTGTGGAAGAGATTTCTTTCCAGGTGGGGAGGGGGAGTAGAACTCCTTAGCATCAGAGCGTGTTAATAGTAAATAATAATATAGGAAATACTCTAAATGCTCTGATGCTCCTTTCTAAAAACCCTTTCTTAGTAAGCACTTAGAAGCCAAGAGGAAGATACGTGTCAAATGTCAAGTTTGTAGGCTTTATGGTTCTGGAGATTTTGTGGTGATGCATGAGGGGCATTTCATTTTTATATAGAGAGATAGATGGGAGGAAGTTCCCATGAACAAGATAAGGGGGTCAGCAGAGAAACGAGGAATGCAGTAGGCGGAATGCACCCTTGTTTCGGCTGCATGTGTTTTATATTTAATTATATTTAATTATATCTCATTCATCCTGATCATTATTTCCTGTTCCCCTACAGGTTTCCCTTACACAGTCCTGAGCGTCTCCGGCAATGGCTGTCCCAAATGAACCAAGAGAAGTGGACCCCCACCAAACACCAACACTTGTGCAGTGATCATTTTGCCCCCTCCTGCTTTGAGTACCGGTGGGGGGTTCGCTACCTGAAGCCCGACGCTGTTCCCACCATCTTCCAGACGTCGGACAGCCCACTGGTGAGAATCCCCTGGCTTTTCCTCCACGGGGTGGGAATGAGCTGCCAAGAGGAGATCAGGAGGGAGAGGAAACAAGGCAATTTAAGTCTCCCTTTGTAAAGTTAGAGATCTATTAAGATGTGTAGACTGAGTGCAGAAAGGTTAAAGCAGCGGGCGTCCAACGTTGGTGACTGTGGACTTCAACTCCCAGAAGCCCCTAGCCAGACATGGAGAAGTTGAAGTCCACAAGTCTTAAAGTGGCCAAGGTTGGCTGAGGAATTCTGGGAGTTGAAGTCCACGAGTCTTGAAGTGGCCTAGATTTGAGAAATACTGGACTAGGTGATCCTTCTGGTCCTTTCCAACTCTATCATTCATGACTGGCTGGGGAATTCTGGGAGTTGAAGTCCACAAGTCTTAAAAGTCACCAAGTTGGACACCCCTGCGTTATAAACAATGAGACAGCAAACCAATGCTGGTGTCTTCCCATAAAATATATATATACTGCACGCAAGGGGTATATGTTCCTATAATATAATATTTATTTATATGCTGCCCATTTCACTGTTACAGCAACTGTGGGTAGTCTATAGCAGGGGACTCCAACCGTGGCCACTTTAAGACTCGTGGACTCCAACTCAGCTTTGCTGGCTGAGGAATTCTGGGAGTTGAAGTCCACGAGTCTTAAAGTGGCCACGGTTGGAGTCCCCCGGTCTATAGAACAGTACAAAAAAAAAAAGACCATACAAAACATTTACAGGTAGACAAAATAAGAGACTAAAAAGCATTTTATTCATTTATTCTCATTTATTTTCATTCTGAAACCTCGGGGCTCTTATTCACACAATCCGATTCCGGGGACAGGAAGGGTCAGAGAGTAAAATCATGCTGCTATTTGGGCTTGGATTTAGCTGGCCATAAACATGAGTTCAGCTTTATCTCAGCCTGGGAAAGATAAATATCAGGGTTCCATTATTGTGTGTCCGTGTGTGCGTGCGTGTGTGTGTGTGTGTTTGCTGATGGGGCTTTGGTTTCTGAGCAGGCCCCTGGTGGCCACAGCTGAATATTCCGGCTCTGTAGCCGGTTGGACTTAAATCCAGGAGTAAACAACTATTGTCAGGTGACTTTAAGTGCAGCTTTAATTACCCCCGGAGAGAATCAGGTGGAGAGACAGGTATGTGCCAAGCTTGCTTAGGGAATAAAAGGCCTGGAATCTTCCATCAGGGAGACAAAGCCCTTGATCCATTCCAGGCTCCCGGAGATTATAAGAGATCAAAGCCTCCTCCTGCCCTGGGGGCCTTGAACTAGAAGCCAACTCCCTCTCCTCTGGGACAGCCCTTCAAGTCCTGCAAGGGGGTGATCACCTCTCACCTAATCCTCCTCAATAGGCTGCTCCTACAGGTAGTCCTCTGCTTACAGGGGCTTCTTTAGTCTCTCCCCACCATCCTCCTCCTCCTCCCTGAAAACTTCCCTCCTAGCCCTGAAGATGTTCCCTAGTTGGGTAATGAAACGTTTGCAAGGAAACAACCCAGCTCAGAGAGCCCCAAGGACCCCCCCCTCCTCCTCCTCCTCCTCCTCCTCCTCCTCCTCCTCTCCTTCTAGCACTGATGAGGTTCCCTAGTTGAGTCATGAAACATCTGCAAGAAAACCATCAAATCTCAGAGAGTACCCAAGACCCCCTTGTCTTCTTCTCCTCCTCCTTCTCCTCTTCACAAATCCCACTTGTAGTATTGATGAAGTTCCCTAGTTGGGTCATGAAACGTCTGCAAGGAAACCACCCAGCTCAGAGAGCATCTGACACCTCACAGTCCTCCTCCCCTCCCCCCCTGCAAACTCCTCTCCCTTCTAGCACTGAGGATGTTCCCTAGTTGGGTCACGAAACGTCTGCAAGAAAACCACCCGGCTCCAGACCCCACATTTCAACCCTGAGCCACAAAGAGTCTCCTTGATTGGCAGACCGGGGGAGGCTGCCCGGCCTTGTTGACGGTTGGCTCTTTGGCTTTATTTCAGAAGAGGGAGAATGCCGTCGAACCGGCTTCTGACGCCCCGGCCAAGAAGGCCCTTCTCGAGCGCGAGGGGGACACCCCCACTGCTGCCCAAACCCCGGCCTGCCAGGAGCCCAGCCCCATGGAGACCCTCACCATCGCCATAGACCCCGGTGTGGCCGCCACCCCGGTCTACCTGGAGGCCCAGACTTCGGCCCCTGACTTGGACTTCCAGGCCCTCTCGGGGCCCCTGGTGGGGACGGTGAACCTGCTTCCTCTGGTCCAAATCGTGGAGCCCCTCCAAGGGGTGACCCTGGCGGTGGCTTCCCCCATGCCAGCCGTGGCCTTGCCGGAGCCCCTGGAGCAGCAGGTGGTGGATTTGGTGGCCTCCCTGCCCCAGGCCGCCCTGGGGTCCTTGCCCGGCTCTTCCGTAGGGCTGGCCGGGCAGCTGTGCGCCGAAGTGGCTGTGCCTTGCGAAGTGGTGGCCGCAGGCGATCAGACTTCGGTACGGGCTGCGATGGCCGAGCCAGCAGCCCTGGCGGAAGAGGGGGCCCTGGTGATCGAGAACGTCTCCATCGAGCCGTTCCTGGAGGGCGGCGGCTCCTCCGTAGCCCTCCCCGACCTGCAGGAGCCCACCGCCACCACCGAGATGGTGGCCTACTTCGAGACCATCCCCACTGCTCCCGTCACGGCGGCCGCCGCGGCCTCTTCCGGGCTGACGGCCCCCGAGACGGTGCTGTCCTCGGCCCTCAGCCTTCCCATCGTCTCCACCCTGCCCATCGTCTCCAACCACGCGGCCCCGAAGGCCCCCCTCTCGGCCGAGGAGGCGACGCTGGAGGAGGGCAGCTCGGCCGACTCTTCCGAGGAGCCCCTGGAGGAGCACCGCTACCACCACCGAGGAGGGGAGGGGGGCACGACAGCCGAGCTGGCGGAGGTGGTGATGGGGCTGCAGAAGAAAGTGAAGGGGCTCCAGCAAAGGCACCGGCGGCACTGCGCCAAGCTGGAGGCCATGGAGAGCGTGGTGGAGCAGCTCTGGAAGGAGAACCTGGTGTCGGAGGAGAAGCTGAAGGTCCTGGAGATGGTGAGCGGACGGGGCGCCTCCTCCTGCTGGGGGTGTGTGGGGCGGGGAGAGAATCGGGGCCCAAGGGAGTACGGGACAGGGAACCCTCCAACCTACGACCGCCAGGGAGCCCAACGCTTCTGCGCCTAAGCCAGACGTTGGTTAAGGGAGTTTCGCCCCATTTTACGGCCTTCCCTGCCTCCGTTGTTAAGGGAATCGCCGCAGTTGTTTCAATCGGGGGCACGATGGTTAGTGAATCTGGGTTGTTGGGGTTTTTTTTTGCTCCATTGGCTGCCCAGAAGGTCACAAAATGGGATCATGGGACCCAGTGGTGGGATTCAAAACTCTTTTTACTACCGGTTCTGTGGGCGTGGCTTGGTGGGCGTGGCACGGCTTGGTGGGCATGGCTTGGTGGGCGTGGTATGGCTTGGGCGTGGCTTGGTGGGCGTGGCAGGGGAAGGATACTGTAAAATCCCCCTCCCCACCCCACTAGCCTGCTTTCCAGCTCCCTTCTCCTGTGCGGGGCAACCAAAGGAGACCCAGCCGATCAGCTGGGACTCGATGGGAGGCAGAGCATAGAGGGGGTTGGCAGGGCCGGTCAGAGGTGGGATTGGCCGGTTCTCCGAACTACTCAAAATTTCCGCTACTGGTTCTCCAGAACTGGTCAGAACCGGCTGAATCTGACCTCTGATGTGACTCCCGGGGCTCTGCCACCGTCATAAATAGGAACCTGTTGCCAAGCGCCTGAATTTTGGTCACATGAGCCCCAGGGATGCTGCAGTGGTCGTAAGTGGGAAACACGATCAGAAGGGATGTTTTTAATCAGTGTCATCACAAGTTTGGTCACTAAACGAACAGTTGTAAGTCTCGGACTGCCTATACTTCAACGGTCTGGCCATGGGTGAAGCAATGATAACAGATAATCAGAGTTGGAAGGGACCTTGTAGGTCATCTAGTCCAACCCCCTGCCCAAGCAGGAGGCCCTACCCCATTTCTGACAGATGGGAGTCCAGTCTCTTCTTGAAAGCCTCCAGGGATGAAGCTTCCACAACTTCTGTTCCACGGGTTGATGGTTCTCACAATCAGAAAATCCCTCCTTATTTCCAGGTTGAATCTCTCCTTGGTCAGTTTCCATCCGTCGTTCCTTGTCTGGCCTTCAGGTGTCTTAGAAAATAGCCTGACCCCCTTCCTCCTCTCTGGGGCAGCCCCTCAGATATCGGAAGCGGCCATGTGGACCCAGTGGGCGCTTTCAGAACCCTATCCGGCTGGCCAAAGGTGCCCAGGTATCCTAACCCACTCTCTGTCCTTCCCTCCCCAGGCCTGCCTGCAGTCCAGCACCTTCGTGCCGGAGGCCGGTGGCGCAGTGGCCATCATCTGCCAGGACAGAGAACCGGCCTTGCTCTACGCCGTGCCTCAACCCTCCAGCGAAGGCAACGAGACCACCCCCCAGAGGGAAGGGCAGTGAGCCAGGACTGGGGGGGGGGGGGGGGGCAGCTGAGAACAGGCCCTTTCTGCCTCTGGTTGCCCCCTCAGCCCTCCCCAGGAAGTGGCCAGAGCTCGCCCTCCCACCCCCCAAGAACGCTGGCCCAGCTAAGCAGAGCCTCGGCCACCTCTCCGTGGCCTTATTCCAGGGGTCCCCAACCTTGGCCACTTTAAGACTTGTGGACTTCCAACTCCCAGAATTCCCCAGCTCGGGGAATTCTGGGAGTTGAAGTCCACAAGTCTTAAAAGTGGCCAAGGTTGAAGATCTCTGCCTTATTCCTTCAGCACCTTATCTTCTGATTTCTCTCTGGGGGTGGAGGTCTTAAGAGATGATTATATATAATGCACTTTCACCCCCTCATCCTCCTCGGGGCTCTGCAAGGCTGCTCATTTGCATCAGCCCCGGCTGGCAGGGCCATGGCCCAGGGTAATGGGAATTGTAGTGCAAAAGGGAAGGCTTCAACCGCTTGTTCCTCCTCCTCCTCCTCCTCCTCCTCCTGCTTGTATTTCTCGAGCACCTTTTTCAATTTCATATCCTAGAACAGGGGTCTCCAAACTCGGCCTCTTTAAGACTTGTGGACTTCAACTCCCAGAATTCCCCAGCCAGCCGTGTCTGTTTCTTTTTCTCCTCTTCCCGCAAAGAGGAGAGATTGAAGAGGAAGGGATTACAAGAGAGTAAGCTATGTTGTTGCTGGAGAATTCTGGGAGTTGAAGGCCACAAGTCTTGAAGCGGCCAAGTTCGGGGACCCCTGTCATAGAATTTTGCTGTCTGTTGGTGTTTTTTTTGTTTCAAAGGCCTCAGATTCCCATTTTTCCTTGCTGATTCCAACTAGACGTGATTTCCAATGGAGCCTTTCATGCAGAACTTGAAATCCAATGGGTTATTGTGATTATGATGATGATGATTATTAAGGGGTTGAATGGAAGGGGGGCAGGAAGGGCGTGTAGGAATCGTGGTAAGGAGCGGGGAGAAAATCTTTTAAGGAGCCACGAACACCCAAAAAGGGAAATGTGGAAAAGATTGAGACACGACAACAATCGACAATAGGCCTCGTGCTTTTGGAAATGCATGTATGTTTTGCAAGCCCCCAAACCAGCTGCAGTTGGGCCTGCCTCCTTCAACCTGGAACATCCCAGAATCCCCCCAGCAATACAGGTTGGGGTTTTCTGTGAATTGTAGTTCAAAAGCACCTGGAAAAGCCGCCACAATGAATGCAAAACTCTCCGTAGACAAGATTAAGAACATACAACATCGTCAATCCGAAGAGCGTCTAGAATCCGTTCTGTTTTTCCTCATGGCCAATTCCTGTAATTTGTCTTGAAGCCCCAAAAGATTTTTCCAACTAGCTGCCAAATAAGATCCCGAATGAGTTTTGAGTATAAATCCTTTCATTGGTTAATTCTTCTGTTTTTAATTTAAAGAAAACAACAACGACACACAAATAAAACACACTGACTTCTGTGATTCACCTAAGCACTGGAGGAAAGATTTCATCGAAGATTTTACAAATCTTTCCCCGGTCTGGCACCTTTCAGGTACATTGGGCCTAAAATTCCCAGCCCAGGTAGCCAAAGGAATTCTGGGAGTTGTAGTCCAGTTCACCCCATCTGGAAGTCGCCAGCTCAGGGGGGGAAGGCCAGGGTAAACCATAAGAGAATTGAGCAGAGATGATCTCTTTGCATGTGCTTGTATGTTTATGTAGTTCTGTAATTTAAACTGAATAAAGGGAATCTGTCAGAATATCTTTTGGTTGGCTTTGATTACATCAGGAGGAGGAAATCCAGAACTTTGGATCCAGATGTGTCCACTGGGTGGAGTTTTCCAAAGTTAAGATGGCGATCGTATGGCCCAGGTGGTCCTGGTCTTGATTTTTTTATTTTTTATTTATTTTTAATAAACTTTATTAGTCTTTTGTGTCTTTTAAAAACAAAACAAAAAGATAATCATAACGTTAACGGTTCTGTGACATCAATCTCATACATTTCTATCTTTTGTACATATTTACAAATATATACAATTTTGTACGAATATATACATTTAATCTATGTATTGCTTATCTTAAATTCCTTCGTTTTCCATCCGTCTTAATTCAATCCAATTGTACCATTTTCCCCAAATTTTATAGTATTCAGACTCATCTTTCTCTTGTAACATTAAGGTCAGTTTGTCCATTTCAGCACATGTCATAATTTTTGAATGATCAATTCATCCAGGGGAATACAATTGTGCTTCTGGCATTGAGCATGAGCTATTGCGGCTGTTAAACGTCTCGATTTTTTAAAAATCTCCCCCCACTGCGAAAGCCCTGGTTGGTTCTATCCTCCATCATGCACATCAAGTACAATGGAGTATGTTAAAGTGGGCCAGTGTTTATCATCACCTCAGAAATTTAAGATTAACAGAGTTGGAAGGGATCTTGTAGGTCATCTAGTCCAACCCCCCGCTCTCCCCAGCAGACCCAACTTAAAGAAGGGTGGACTTCAACTCCCAGAATTACCCAGCCAGCATGCCAGTGAACTTGAAGACCTGTGAACTCCCAACTGCCACGCTGGGGGAATTCTGGGAGTTGAAGTCCACGCTTCTTAAAGTTGCTGAGGTTGACAACTATAAGGAACTGTGCATAATGGGTTAGGATGCTGTCCCAGCGTGCAGCTGTTTGGAAACCGGCCAATTCCACATTAGGCTGACTGGCCAAGGAAGCAAAAGTAAATTACTATGCTTTATCTCATCCCTTACATAAATCTATCACACTTAAGATACATTCTGCATATGTCTGGCCGCCCCCCCTCCCCTCACCCACCACGAATGAAGAGCTGGAAAAGTTGCAGACCGAAGCAGATCCAGGAGGAAAGAAAATGGAGATTTTCAGCTTGGAAGGCAGCCAAACAGAGAGTGAGTTATCACGGCATATAAAACCAGGCAGGGTGAGATTTATTTGCCCAGAAGGAAATGGCAATTGGTGAGAAAGCCCACATTCCTCCAGGTTATTGATATCCCAGTCTGGTTTGCGTTCCTAGAATTTTCAACTAGCTGAGGTTTTTGAGATCATCTATAAGGCCCCAATGGGTGGTTTTGCTTAGCTGCCTTACAACAGACCACTGTCTAGCAGTGTTTCTTCTGGAAAAATTTTTTTTGGGGGGGGGGGGGGGGGGAGTTATGATTGGCGTTGTGGTGAAGGTGCTGGTCAATCACCAGGAGATGGTGAATCCTTGTGTGCCTTAGCCAGGAAAGCCAGTTGGATGACTGGGTCAGTGACCAGGAGACAGGGAGTTCTAGTCCTGCTTAACTCTGGCTGGGTGACTTTGAGTCAATCCCCAGGAGACGGGGAGTTCTAGTCTCACCTTAGACATGAAAGCCGACTGGGTGACTTTGAGTCGAACGCCAGGAGACGGGGAGTTCTAGTTCTGCTTTAGCTGTTAAAACCAACTGGGTGATTTTGGGTCCATCACCAGGAGATGGGGAGTTCTAGTCCTACCTTAGGCATGAAAGCTATCTGGGTGACTTTGGGCCAGTCACTCATTCTCAGTCCAGCCCACCTAACAGGGTTGTTGTGGGCGAAAGTAGAAAGAGGAAGGAATATTGCATTGATGTATGTTTGCTTATAGAATCACAGAGGCCAGACAAGCCTTTAACAAATGCAACAAAAGGTTTTTTTCAATAAAACCAAAGGCTTTTCATGTCAGCCTCTTGGGGGGGGAGGGGGGGCAGGAGCCAAGTTGGCTGCAGCAGAGCTCTGTGTGACCTGGAAACCGGCCGGTTGCAAGCGTCCTCTGCCATCTGCCCCACGTCGGAGGGGTTTGCGGAAGAGGCCCGGCTGGGGGTCCCCCCAACTTCTCAGCCCGAGGAAGGAAGGGGCCAGCCGCCCTTGTGCCCGGAGAGACCCCCAACCCACCCCAGAGTGGAGGAGGGAGGGGCCCCGGGTCGGCAGCCCTGCGGACCCCCGCACGAGCCCTTCCCCGGGCTGACGACCCTCCGCATCCCCGCAGCAACGAAAGCCTGGGCGCGGGGGGCTGCAGCAGGCGGCGGGGGGGGGAGGGGCGGGGGGGGGGGGCGGCTTCTGCCGCTGATGATGCTGCGGGCGGCGCATGAGCGCTGCGATCGCCTCCTCCTCCTCCTCCTCCTCCATTTGCGCTGCGCCCGCCGAGCCCAGCCGAGGGTCGCCTCTTCGCCGCCGTTGCATCCCCGCCGCTGCCTCCTCCGCCCGGTAGGTGAGCGCGCTGCATCCCGGCCGGGGAGCCCTTTCCCGGAGGATGCCCGGCTTGGCGGGACCCCCTCCCCCGATATCCCTGCCCCCCCGCGCCCGCGCGCCCGTCCTTCCAGCGGCGGAGATGCTCCTCCGGGGGCCCCGTCCTGGCGCGTTGCATCCCGCAGCATCCCTGCTTCTGGTCCTACCCCCCCACACCCAACACATACACACACACACCGCCGTCCCCGCCGGTCCTCCCGACCCCCTCCCGGCCCTCCCCCGGTCGGCCTCGGCCTCCTCCCCGCCGCAGAGCCCGTCCTGGACCTGCGACGCGCCCCGCCGCCCCTTCCCACCCCCCCGACCGCTGGACCAGGATGCTCAGTCTGCCCGTCCCGCTCCTGCATCCCAAGACGGAAAGGATGCTGCGCTCGCTTAAACCCCCATCTCCCTCCTCCCCCTTCATTCCCCTTCCCTCTTGTCCATCATTTCTACCCCCCCTCCCCCAATCAGATGCTGGGAATTCCGCCTTGGCCTCTTTGGGGGACACCGTGTCCCCTCCCCCATTGGGGGGCCTGGAGCATCCTTGCCCCCCTCCCGCCCCTCCCAGGACAAAAAAGGCTCCCCAGGTTAGAGCGGGGGGCTCATTCAGCCAGAGGGAGCAGGACGGGCTCCATGCCGGAGTGCTACCTCTCCCATCATCCTCAGCCGGGATTGCTATTGTCCCAGCTGCAAGGAATTCTGGGAGCCGAAGTCCCAGCGGGTCTGGAAAGTGCCAGATTGAGGATGTAAATAGGCGTGTGTGATGCCCGCCTGGCTGCAATCGAGGATGGGGGCATTTTTGAAAGAGAGCTCCCCCCCCTCCTGCCGTTCCCAAAAAGGGTTTTGTTTTGTTTCGTTTCATTTCACTGGTTTGATCTGAATTATTTTATTTTATATTATTTTAGTTTTTACCATTTTATTTTGTTATATTTTACTTCATTTATGTCATATTATGTCATTTCATTATTTTATTTCCTGCCTTTCTTGTGTTTTTAAAGGGGGGAAGGCATATCTCTTTGCAAAAAACAAAACAAAAACCCCCACAAATGCACCCAACTAGAAGCAAACCTCAGGAAGCCCCCAAAGATCCAGGAATCGGGCTGCAGGGGACGCCTAGCCATGCCTGGCATGGGAATTCCACAGACAGGGCACCCCCCACTCCCTGGCTAACCTGTAAAATAGAGCCAGCTACCCATCTGGAAGGTACCCAGAGACACGCAAACACAGAGACACACATCCACAGTCCCGAACCATCTCCGCTGTCGTTGAAAGCCCAGCCTTGACACCTACAATCTCTGCCAGGCTGTGTATTGATCGCCTCCAGCTCATGGGCCTCTGAGTGTGGGTTTTGTGCGGGAAGGGAGAGTGTGTGAGGGTGAGTTTTGCACGCCGTCCATTCTTCAAGCAGAAAGCTTGGGAATAGCAGCCCTGCCGGAATCTGCTCACCGTTAAATGGATCCCAGAGTCCCTTTATGGAGCTTTAATGCTCAGTGAGAGCACCTCTGTTTCGGCGATGGCGCGCGTGGGAATCGGAGGGATTTCCAGAAGAGTCAAAATGTGACTGTGTGGATGGCAAAGAGGTGATAAATGGGGCGACTCTCTTGAAGCGGAATGGAGCTGTTGGTTAAAGGAAGGGGAATGTGTGTGTGTGTGTGTTTAGTGGGTTCAATTCTCAGTCGTTTTAAATGGAGAGCCGTGTGTTTTCAACCTTGCTAACTGGAAGAGGGGTGGGCTTCAATTCCCAGAATTCCCCAGACAAAAATCACAGCAGTTCTCTAGCTTTTATAGCCTCTACCTTTCAGCCTTGCTAACTTGAAGACCTGAGGGCTTCAACTCCCAGAATTCCCCAGGCAGCAGTGCTGGCCGAGATATTCTGGGAGTTGGAGTCCACAGATCTTCAAGTTCAATAGCATGCTGACTGGGGAATTCTGGGAGTTGAAGTCCCCACATAGTAAACTCAACTGTAGTAAAGTGATTTTGACCAGGAATCATTCTTAAATGTATTCTGAATATATATAAAACTCAGAGGGACTTATTTTGAGATAAATGAATAGAATATTGAAGCTTTGGCGAGTTCACCCCCTAACAAGACTGAGAGCTTTTTAGACAGGTTCTTTTGGCTGGTTTGCTCACCCTAGAAAGCCAAAGACCATTTGTTTTGTGTTGGTTTAGTGCCATGTGCAAACCAAGCCATAAAGTTGGCCATGGTTTACAGCTTAATTTATTACAGGAACCCGGCTAATTATGGCTTAGTCAATAAGACATAATTAAGCAAGCTGAGGCTTAACCCAATGCATAAAAATGTTTTATGATTTGATTTCAGATAAAAAGGGGATTTGCAAATATAGGAGTAACTTGACTTCTATAGCTTCTCAAGTTCTTTTGTTCACATTCCATGTTTTCATGCTTTAATTATTTTATATAAATATTTTATATCACTGTTTTATGATGTAGCAAGCTGCCTAGTCATTTGACAGTGAGATGGGCAGTATATAAATTTAACAAATATATACATTTAATAAATAAATTCGATCAGGAATAACCAAGAAGTGATCCAGAAGGGAAAGTTGAGCTCATTTCTCTTAAATATTTCTATGTTCTCAGTTTTCGAGTTACTCCCTTTGTAACCTTTCAACTTGTCTCATGGTGGGGTAAATGTCAGCTTGATTTAATGGTTAAGGCATCACCTAGAAACCAGGAGGTAGCGAGTTCCAATTCTTGCTTAGGCATGAAAGTTGGCTGGGTGACTGTGGGCCAATCACTAGGAGATGGAAAATTGTCGTCCTGTCTTAGGTCCAAAACTTTGGGTCAGTCACTAGGAGACTGTAAGTTCTAGTTCCTTCTTAGACAGGAAGGCCAACTGGATAACTTAGGGCCAATCACCAGGAGACAGTGAATTCTAGTTTTACCTTAGGCATGAAAGCTGGCTGGATGATTATGGGCCAATCACCAGGAGACTGGGAGTTCTAGTTCTGTCTTAGACCTGAAAGTTGGCTGGGTGACTTTCCTGTCTCTCAGCCCAATCCACCTCACAGGGTTGTTGTTATGTGGAAAATAGGAGGAGGAAGGCGTATCAAGCATGTTCACCACCTTGAGGATAATATATGATCAAGTTGAGACAAAAAATAAAGTCATTAATTCAGAGCAAGCCTCCTGGCTCTGGGTTTCAAATTCCTTTGCTATCCCCTGGTTGACCAATTTCTCCTCTCCTCTTGGCCCTTGCAGAGGGAAAAGACCTTCCCGCCACCATGACCAAAGATGACTCTGCCGAGCTCCCTTCCGAGGAAGACCACCAGGCGTTGGAATTCCAGAGCCCAACGTTGGAGAGGAGGAAGAAGCCCATCGTCCACCCTTCAGCCCCAGCTCCACTCCCCAAAGATTATGGTGAGCTGGTTCCTTTCCGTCCTGTTCTTCTTTAGCCTCATCCTTCCCAGTGAAGCCTGGACAGAGGTCCTCCTTGACCAGTTGACCTGATAGCACTTAGACTTATATATCGCTTTCCAGTGCTTTCCAGCCCCCTCTAAGCAGTTTACAGAGTCAGCCTCTGGCCCCCAACAATCTGGGTCCTCATTTTACCGACCTTGGAAGGATGGAAGGCTGAGTCAACCTTGAGCTGGTCAGGATCGAACTGCTGGCAATTAGCAGAATTAGCCTGCAATACTGCATTCTAACCACAAGGAAGGAAGGAAGGAAGGAAGGAAGGAAGGAAGGAAGGAAGGAAGGAAGGAAGGAAGGAAGGAAGGAAGGAAGTTAGTT